AGCATATAAGGAAACACGCCTTCACTGCATTATTCAAATGAAATAGATGACTACAGTCTTTGCTTATATCACTGTTATTTGAGAAAAACATAAAAAGCATTTCAAACTTTTTGTAGATTGCTTTTGTATATGAGCACAGGCAGAAACATTGAAAACACAAATTGAAATGTTATTTATTAAATTTGCAAAAACAACACAAAAACTTTTTAGTGAATCAAGTTTTAATTTTACATTTTTATCCAATAACTAAAACTGCAACAAAAATAAAACGTTACATGATACCTGTCAGCCACCATGTTGTACGATAATCCCTTATTTTTATTTAGCTGCGATGATTTTTTTATAATTACTATACAATAATTGTTGTTACTCGAAAAAATTAAACACTTACTTACTATCGAGTTTATGATTCGTTATTTTCACAAAAAAATATTGCATTTTATTCTAAATTACTTCTCTTTTATTTCTGCTACTTCAATTTTGTCAAAAAAACACTCGAAAAAATCAATTCATTCTCAGTTCATTCTAAGAGCCAAAATCAGTATTCTTTTTTTTATAAAATATCAAATTATTAGTCAAAAACGAGAAAATAAAGCGTCACTTTATGTCCTGTTAAAAAGAAAATTATTTTAAAACATTATAAACTAATGTATCCCGGCGCCTCCACCATTATTACTACTGTTTCAATAAAATTGCTTTAATTAATTGGTAACTTACTTGATCCAAAAATAATAATAACAATGAAATACAAAGATTAAAAAATTATTATTATAGCAGTTAAAAATTAGGTATGTATTTCGTAAATTTAACGAGAAAAAAATATTTAAAAGTATTTTAGTTACCCTTTAGCCTGGCACCTCCACCATATTTTTAATATTTTTCTTTTATTGATTATAATTTATTCGCATTAAAATTGAAACCATACTAAAATTAAAACTTTATTGAAACAGACTAAAAATAAAACAACACAAAAAACGAGTTAAAAATGTATTAATTCATTGAAATTTTCATTCAAATCATAAAGTAATAATCAAATTACAAACATGTAAAAAGCTGAAAACATTACATTTCAAATTTATTATTGATATGAAATATCAGGTTTAGGTTGGGAAGTGGTGGTCACTTTTTTATCAGTTGAAATAACAGTTCAGGTTGGAAAATGACCAGTTTTCAACCCAAAAACTGAGGCGGAAGTGACCTCTTCCCAACGTGAACTGTCATGTTACATATCAACTGATAAGAAAGTGACCACTTCCCAACCCGAGCTGTCATATTATGTCGTGTATTTTAAAATTTCATAAATTCATAGTCATTTTAATTGAAAACAAGAAAGAAATGTAAAATAATAATTTTTGTAGAAAAATTCGTTTAGAAATTAAAGAAAAAAAAATGTTTTTTTTATATTACTTTACTTTTATTTCTGCTACTTTTAATTTAAAAACATTTTATACTATATCCCGGCGCATCCACCATATTTCACTACTTTTTTTAAAATAAAATAATAAAAATAATAAAAATAAAATTGCTTTTGTAATTAATAGGTGACTTACTTTTACGAGAAATAACGGCAACAATAATAGAAAGATTAAAAAAGCATTATTGAAGTCAAAAATTAGGTACGTATTTCTTAAAACACAACAAGAAGAAAACTATTTAATAGTATATTACAATACTAGTTTATAAGCAAGCCTATAAAACACGCACGACGGGTTTAAGAGCACGACGCGTCAGCGGAGTGCTTTTAACGTCGTGAGTGTTTTAAAAGCGCTTATAAACGAGTGTTTACGCTATTTTTTATTATACCTGCCCATTTACTATCTTTTATAAGCATTGAAAAAATGTGAATTTACACAATAAAATTATCAAAGGTTGTTTGTGAATCGTTTTCGTAGAGACGGTTACTAGTTTACGTTGTTTGGCACATTTTTGAGGTTTGTAAAAATCCGTTCAGAAAATGAAGGCTAGCAGAACAAGCAGAACTGAAAAAAAATCAAAACTTGCGTAGTGGCTATATTGAAGAATCCACTTCAAACAAAATAGTTGTTTCCAAATGCATTGCTTGTGTTCTGAACACATCGGTTGGTGAATCAACTTCATCAAGAGCTATGGACGTCCAACAGAAGAATAAAAATGCAAAAGCTTCTACTATTTAGTTATGAATTAGAAATAAGAAACAACAGTAACCAGCTTAAAGCGGCGGGCTTTGAACTTTCAAACAATAGTAATTAGTAATTTTAATATTTATTTCAATAAATAAAAATTGGTTCTGACATTTTACTATTTCTTGTTACCTAGACAACTTTAAAATTTCAGCATGCGATAAAGGCCAAATTACGCACGCTGCAGCGTGTTTTAATTTAGGATTATGATGCAGGTATAATAAAAAATATTTTAATTACCACTGTTGATTAGAATTTGTTCGCATTAAAATTAAAAACAAAAACAAACTATAAAGTTAAGATCTTATCGCACACACTAAAAATAACGTATACATGGCGATTCAGATAAGATAATGAGCCTGACAATCTGGCGATGCAACCCAAAAAACAAATTTCATTTACGCCTTTGATCAAATTTAAATTAAAATTTGCAAGTTGAATCCAAGTTATCATCTCATGTCGGTTTGACATCAGTGCAGAGAAAGATCATTAATGCCATTCAGTCCGCGCGGAATGATAGAGAAATTAGAGAAGTCTTTTCAGTGTAAACCCAATATAAAATGTATGAAACATTAAAGGTAGACAAACAGTTTTTTTTTATAAATCATAAATTGCTTGTCAAAGCACTGTCAGAGCAACATAAGATAACTTGGATTTCAAATGCAAATCGTAATTGAAATTAGATCACAACGTAAATGAAATTTGTTTTTTGGGTTGCATCGCCATTATCTTATCTGAATCACCCTGTATAGTAACAAAACAAATTTCAAATTTTCTTATTTCATAAAAACAGTTCAAAAATAGTTATTTATTATACAAGACGATAAAGAGATTGTTTATCTACGAGTGACGAAGTTACAAGTGGACTTTTTTCACGAGTAGATAAACAATCTTTATCGTCGTGTATAATATTTCGTTATATTGTGTGCTCACTTACCAGAATTTCTTGAATATAAACAGTAGATAAAAATTATTTTATTTCACTAGACAATAAAAGACTACTTTATCTACTAAAATTAGTTGATAAAATATAAACAGTTGATAAAAATTACTTTATTTCAGTAGACGATAAAAGACTGCTTTATCTACTGAAATTAGTTGATAAAAGCACTCTTTAACATTGAGTACAATGTAAATAATCTTTCTTTCCACACTTATTAAAAGCAAAATTACTCACTTTTTTGTAAAAATACACTGTTTTGTGGTGAAAAATTGTACCGCGTTTTATGGTAAAAAATACCGCTTAACATTGGGTACATGGACAAAAATTACAAAAACTGAACATAATTTATAAAAATAGTTAAGATTATACAGGCTGCCCCAGCGAGTTGAAAAAGTCCATTAGTGACCTTTAAATGGTAAAATTTAAAAAAAATGTATAGGACATTGATAAATACTAATCTAGTCCATCGCCTACAATTATTTTCAACTATACAGCGTGTCTCAAAAATAAGTTACAATACAAACTTGTGTTTTTTTTAAATGGAACACCATATGTTTCTTAGCGTTTTTGGATGTAGATTTTTATGACAATGTTTAAACTTTTATTGGTCGATTTTGCTTAGTTTTAAAAATAAGACGATTTTTTTTAAGAAAACATGCACTTTTTAAAAAATTATTAAACAACAACTAAGACATCTAGAAAATTTTTTTTTACTACCGCAAAGAAGAAGGTACAAACTATAAGGTTGTAACATTTTTTTAGTGTGTTGCATATCCAAAGATCAAAAAATGAAGACGTTTGTTAAAAGTTCAATAACTTACAAAATTTAAATGAAACACCACCCTATTTATTGTTTTTGCATAAAAGATTATTAATTGTATTTCTAAAATTATTTACTTTTAGGTGTTAATAATCAATAACTCAAAAGATATTTAACGTTATACATTAAAAAAATAATAATTACTAATGTTTCAGTAGCCAAAAAGTACACAATTGCACAAGAGATAGAATAAATATCACTTAATCACATTTGTGTTAAACTGAATTCATTATTCTTTATTTTTACAATAAAATAATTCGTATTTCAATATTTATAACGACTTTTACAATCTGTTGATAAATCAACGAATAAATTATTATGGTTGCCATAGTATCAACAATGCCCAGATATTGATAGGCATTGTTGCTACAATTAATATTGAATATTAAATATCTTTCCATTTATAAATTCAAGACATTAAAAGTTTACTTTTTTAGATAGTTTATGAATCTATTAGATGCAAAAATAAAAAATAGGGTGTTTCATTTAAATTTTTTAAGTTATTTAATTTTTAACAAACTTCATAATTTATTAATCTTTTCAAATGCAAAACACTAAAAAATTGCTACAGTTTTAAATTCAGTTTCTTTGCAGAAGTAAAAAAAATAATTGTTCTAGCTGTCTTAGTTTTTGTGTAATGATTTTTTAAAAAGTGCTGTTTTTGTCAAAAAAATCGTCTTATTTCGAAAACTAAGCAAAATCGACCAATAAAGGTTTGTCATAAAAATCTACATCCAAAAACGTTGAGAAACATATGGTGTTCCATTTAAAAAAACACAAGTTTGTATTGTAACTTATTTTTGAGACAGACTGTATAGTTGAAAATAATTGTAGGCGATGTACTAGATTAGTATTTATCAATGTCCTATACATTTTTTTAAATTTTACCATTTAAAGGTCATTCATGAATGGACTTTTTCAAATCGCTGGGACAGCCTGTACCTATGTACAAAACGAAAAAATTGTAAGTAAAGTCAATTTAAATGAAAACAAGACACGAGTTTTGATCAACAAATTCATTTAGGAATGTAAGAATAAAATGTGTAAGAGTGGATATCTGATGTCGTGTGTTTTGCAGATCCCAACATCCCGGAGACGGGCGAGCAGAGGCTCAATTCCTCGCGCGGAGACGAAGACTGTTGTTATACGCACTGCGGCTCGCCGGGAAGGGGCGGCAGTGGTACCGCGGAAGTGCTCAATGTGTGCGAGCACTGTCCAGGTCGACCTAAGAAGAAGAAGAAGAAGAACAACGCCAACGGCAGCAACGTCACTACCAAGTCGACCACCGCCGCCGCCCGGGGCGCGGCCGCCGCCAGGACTTGTAACAAAGTGTCATTACTGTGGACCGCATGGATTATTTCTATAACACTAATAGAACACAAAGAGACCATTTATAACACATTACAATGTTTGTTAGTTCTGTGCGCGACCAGTGTGCGGACGACGCTGCTGCTACTGCTGCTGATGACAAAGTGGACAAAGACCAAGTGCGGAACGTGCTCATAGAATTAGGACTGTTAGGCGATATGTGTTCGTCCAAATGCCCAAAGTGGTCTGCTCATGACAAACTTTCACATTTGCTATTTTTATATTAAGCACTCCTATTTTTTTACTAACCACAATTCTCGTTTTATCATTCAAATCGCTATTTAGTGCAAAAAATTACTACTTTTCAGAAATATGGAACTGAAAAAATTATTTATCTTTAACCTAAATTAATTGTCGTTTTTCTTGGTATTGTTAGGTTGCGTAATTCTCAATGCCAGATCAATAAAATTTTAGCAAAGTATTGTCTAACAGTGAATATTAAAAAAGTCTCAAATTTCTTAAAATACTCGCATTTATTAAAGATGAATAAAGTACAATTTTTTTTTTTTTTGAATATGTGCCAATGTCATGGCACAACTAATATAAACCTTGTGAGAAACTTTAAAAAAATATGCAAAAAATGGTCTTCTTCTCCAGCCGGATTAAAATATGTCATTTTTAAGTCTTTTTTTTTAACTATCAATGTAATTCCCAATTTTAATCCTAGACTTAAAAAAACATTTTATTCGTATTTTTAAAAAGTAACATTTTTTATCCTAATAAAACAATCCACTATTTTTTAACGCATCTTATTGTTGGTTGGAGAAAAAATATTATGTTTTATTCGGCTTAAAAGTGAATTTTTTGTCTGACAATTTTTTTACTTTTGCTAGCCAAAGAAACTGACACTTTAAATTTTAGTAAATAGTATACTTGTATTTGCTTAGTAAAATAGTGAAGTTTAATATTTAGAGCTATTACAGTATTACATCATACAGTGTGTCCCCGGATAGGTAAAACGACTCTTGTAAAAGAAAAAAAACTTCGATTTAAATTTTCATTTTTTTGGGTTTAGCTCTGCTTGGTTAAAGATTAATTTTAGATTTCAAAAATCAAGTTGAAAAATACGACAAAAAGTTATTACATCAAGTTGTTTAGAAGCAACGTCTAGGCCCGTATACCAAATTTCAAAATCATCGGCCAACTATGATTTTTCAGTTTTTTATCACATACTTATTAAAGAATTTTATTTTTAACAGTTCTTTTATTAGGAATAAAAAAATTTACATTACATTATTAGAACTAAATAAATTTTTGACGTTTTTGTTAAAAAAAGCTATTATCTTAGAAAAAAAAAAAAAAATCATAGCCCTGATGACTTTCACATGGGCTAAAATGTTGATTTTAAACAACTTTTCTTAATAACATTGTGTCGTATTTACCACTGCCACTTTACTCTACAGAAAACTAATTTCCAAGGCATACTTGACTTTTTAAAACTAAAATACATATATTAAAAATTAATCTTTAACTAAGCAGAGCTAAACCTCAAAAAATAAAAATTTAAATCAAATTTCTTCAAGAGTTGTTTCACCTATCGAGGAGACACTATATAATATTGCCTAAAAAAGTTATTCTTTAGTAATTTTTAATTTTCTGCTTTCCGTATTATTACAATTCAATAATCTATTAATTTGTTTGGATTAAGTTACAAAAGAGCTTTTAATCCTGATTTCAGAAAAAACAAACTAAAACACTTTGCTTTTGTAACTTATTCTATTGAATTGTATAAAAAAAATGGTATAAAATGTCAGTTATTTTCCAAATTAAAAATTGTATTTTTCTGTTCCATATTTCGATTCTATTTTGCCGATTTTAATTACAAGTTGTTGACGAATCTATAATTTAATCGGCCTGAGTTGGGCCTGCCTTTGGGATCTTAAATCGTGCCATTATATCATTGAAACGATACGAAACAATAATAAACAATGCAGCTGCATGACTGCCTCATAATACATAAAATTGTAAAAAATATTTTAATATTTGTGTATTATAAATAAAGGTCGTGGACCTCTTAACGAAAATTTCTGTTTTTGGTGTAAGTTTTGGCATTCGTCCCACATGAACAGACCACAGCTGGTATGCGGATTTTTTTTTAGAAGAATTATATCTTCATGCACATAGAATTTGTCTAGGACTGCAATGTAAATGTGGAGTCAGAGAAATACCGACGCACAAGTCAATTATCAGTTTGGTAATGCAATGGTGGTAAAAAGGGACACGACCCGAGACAGGTATTGGCTGACTCTCATTTGTCTAATGGCTGTTGCGAAGTATATAATGAAGACTATATTATATTGTTGATGTTGAAGATATATTACTAATTTTGATTGATTTATTTTGATACTACAGGAAAACTTTGTTGCAATACGTTCTTGTGAAGCGTGCATTACTTTTAAATCGACTTATAGATCAATACGGATGTAACGTGAGGACTTTTGTTATTTTTCATCCATTCCGGCCAATGAAAGAAGTAACTCACTAAATTGTTGATGTTATTAAATTTGCAACGGCGTTCTGACAGCAGCTGCAACATTTCAAACCCATTCGAGATAGATATTCCACTTGATCGGATAGATTTTCTTTTGATCCGCTCCAACACTTGTAAAAATAATCGCTTTTGGTTTTGTGGCTTGCTGCTGGACGTCGATGTGCAATCACGAATCGCTCTTGTTATTGCTTTAGTTCCGACAGTTTGGCTCTCGAAGAAATGCAAGCGAGTCGTTTGTCCAAAACCTCCACTCACTCCACTTTTGATATACTTACGAATCAGCCACGAAGCAGTCACCTAGTTGCGATTTCGCTATACTTTGTTGATGTACAATTTACGTTCTCAATTAGTTTTTTGGCAAAAATGAAATAAAAATACCTAGACGTAAATGCAGATCGAAAAGGTAATAAAATATTGTTAAATGTGAGATCCTGTAGTTATATTGGAGCGTAGCCAGTTCGAACGGATCATAACGTAGCTGCAATTATACTTCTGATAGAGAGAACACCATTTTTAGTTTGTGCAAGAATGTTTCCCGACTGCCATCAATATATATTTTACGAGTGCTTAGTGATACCAACTGATAGTGTTATTTTAACAAAAGATACTCAACGACAAACGGCACAACCTCTTCATATCAACAGATGACTTTCCTGTGCGGCTGCTACCCACTTCTCACTTATATTCTCACTTATTTCAATTGTTCACGACAGCTTTGGAAAAATTATTGTGTTCAACATAATTCTATTTTTAAGATTTTTAATGTGCAAAACTCATTTTATACGAAAACGTGCCCCTGGCGACACCCTTCACTTTTTTACCACGCTAAAATGAGTTTTTCAAAAAACAGTATCTGCCATTTTGCCTCCAATTAATTGCAACTGAAACCTGAAAACTTGAAAACGCACAATTTGGTTTAGTTTTTATGTTTCCTATCACAACAAAATGGCAGTACCTAAACCTTGTACAATAATTTGTTCGTTTAACAAACCAAAACATTATGACACCGAAAATATTACAGTGTTCCAACAAGAATTTTCTCAAATTATTTTTTTTTTTGCAATTTCAAAATTGTAGCATTTTAAATTTAATATTAGGTAAAATGTTTTTAAAATTCATTCTTATTACAGTAAACAGATTTTAAAAACCGAAAATAAAATCACAATCAAACTCAAACAAAAATATGCTCAAAAAATATTTTTTCTCAAAAAAAATTTTTAAGTAACATTTAATGTATACAGGCTGTCTCTAAAACTGCAAAACAACATGATAAGGTCTACATTATTATACAGCATGTTCCGTTTTTATTGTTACAAATTTAAATTATATATGACAGAATATTCAATTTTATGAAAAAAGTTTCCTATAAACATGCTTCGAAAAATGCTTTGTAAGGGAGCTACACCCCCCAATAGGAGTACGTTTTTTAAAGGATTTTTTCTAATATTTTGGAATAGATAAAATTACAAAATATGGAACAGCTGACAACCTTTATACACTTAAACGAATTCCAACATGAAATGTCGAAATTTTTAATTAGGGGTATCCTAAACGTTAATTTTTAGGAGTAATTTTTTTACAGTTTATGGTCTGAAACAAATTTTAAAACTGATTTTATTCAAAATCGGTAAGGTGTATCGGAAAAACGCAAAAGACATGATGAAAAAGTATGAAATTTAGAATTTTGTTGCTGAAAGTTGCAAGAAACTACAGCCAGAATAGTTAGAGTACTTTTTACCATAAACCCACCCAGTTTAAGAAGCCCCTGATTAAAAATTTCAACATTTTATCTTTGAATTCATTTAAATGTATAATGGTTATCATCTGGACCAAATTTTGTCATTTTATCTAAAATGGTTTTGGAAATATTGGAAAAAAACTCATCATAAGACCATTTGAGAAGGTGTAGTTCCCTTGTTTAAAGTTGAATAATTTATCTCCTGTGTAAATTTCTAACAATAAAATATAGAGTGTTAGGAAAGATGTTAAAAAATTCTATACTTATCTAGTTTTGTAATTATGGAGGTGTAAAGTTTGCTATTGATCCTATTTATTTCAGTATTTCATGCTTCCTGTGCTTTATGTAATAAACTAATAAATATGAGACAACCTGTAGATATATTCATATGCTAAAAGACAAACAAATTTAATTTTAAATGAAATTTTAGGTAATTTTATTAGCAGGACTTAAAAACAAAAATAAAATTAATAAAAATTAAAATTTAAGGAAATTTTTACCCATGTTTACAAAGATTTATTATTACTCAAAAATGGATGCCAAACTTGGAGGTGGAAAAAAAATAAATCAGACTATGTTCCTCACAAAATTTAAGCCAATGAAATCTTTCAAATTTTTTAGATTCATGATATCAGATTCAAATTACGCGATAATTCAGCACGTGTGTAAATTATCCATCCAATTTGCCCGTGTACTAAATTACCGTAAATCAAAATTTGCAAAAATGTTTGACATAAAATATTTTTTTAATTAAACATAATGAAAATATTGTTTTTGTAAATTTTGTTCGGGAAATAGTCTGCAAAATACCCACAGCAAAATAAAAAATTATTGACAATTTGGGTTGAAAATTCTTGTTCTCAAAACAATTTTTTAAATTTCTGCGACTTTTTAAATTTTTATAAATATGTGGCATTTCCACTTGTTAAATAATTTTGAAATTGCAAAAAGATCATTTGTCATAATAAAAAGGAAGCATTTTTATAAGTTTTAAGATAAAAATGAAATACACTGCATCTGAAATTATTGTTTGGTAGCTGAGAAATTTTTAATTGGGACAGTCTGTATGTAATCATTTATTATACTTCCGTGTTGCCAATTGATTTTTTACTACATTTCAGAAGCGCAGACAAATAGTTGTACAAACTAAAGTGTGAAGCATTTACAAGTCGCTTATTTGTATAATAATTTAAATCAGGGTAAAATTCGTATATTATTACATTTGTTAACTTTTAAATAAAATGTTGAATTGTAAAAAGCGACCAAACCGACACATTAAAACTTTACAAGTGCAACTATTTGAATGTTGGTAGAAAACAAAAAATGTTCATAAAAACCCCTTCAAAGCCCATCATTAATTTGAAACGTCAGGTCCACGTTGTACTATTAAGAAAAATGTGAAAAATGTTTGTGTGCGTATGTTTTAGTACAGAAATCAAAATATATATATTGTAAAATTATGGTACATAATTGGGAACGACTCTACGTAGCTAAAGGTCTAGATTCGTCCGCAATGCGAGAGTGTCGCTAGTGGTCTCATGTTACTAGCTGTGTTCGTTAGAGATCTCTGCAAACGCTGACCATACGAAGGCATGCTTGCTAGATTCACATGGGCATGGTGGAGACCATCATGGGACCATCCATCATTGATCCGGGTCTAGTCGCACAGATTTCGCTATTGTCCTCGTGTTTATTTACAGCGAATTTTGTTCTCGGAGAGCAAGTAAGCAAGCCTTATGACGCAATATGAGTGTGTGCAAAATATTTTTCTGTTATGTTGACAACAAGCATGCCTTTGTACCAATTTATAACAATTATAAATTTCGTAAACGTTTCCATCAAAATAACTTTAGTCAGAGAGTTGGTTTAGTATTAAAAGTTGTGAAACAATGTTGATTTGTGCCAAATTCCCACAAAGTACCCCTGCAAATATTTGACTCAAACCATTTCGGAAGCTCTCTTCATTTGAGTATTTATGGTTGTTTTTTCGCTCTGCTGGTTGATTTATTTCAAATATGGCTCAAGAATCAATGTAAATGCCTTCAACAATGCAAAATGGATTCTATTCCAATAGGATCGCATCAGTTATGTTTCAGACTAAACTATGCAATAAAGAAGAGAATTTAGCGCAACAAATGCAAGAAAAATACATTTGCTCTGCTTTGCATTGTTGTAATTGTTGTTAATGTTACAAGATATATACTTATTGTTGCTAGTGCTAGCGTTGTTGTTGTTACATTCAGATAATAGTTATATATTTTTATTTATTTTAAAAAGAGAGAACGAGAGAGGCAATGATCTTTCATAACGTATACATTATAAATTTAAGACAAATAGGATTTAAAAAAAGTAGATATGTTAGTGGCTCTTTTCATTCAACCTGCACAAATAGTTGATAGGAATGAAATTTAAAATGTTTTTACCGTCTAATGACAGACTTCACACGCAAGCCCCATTTTTGACACACATTCCCAAGAAAAAAATTAACTGAAATATTGTAAATGACTGAATAAGCATTTTTCTAACAAATACCAAGTGTTGTTATTAGTGTATATAGGTATATCTATAAGTAGTCTAAGTAAGACTTAATGATAACAACTGGGATGACCAGATTTTATATGAAGCCATTTCATCTGTAAATAAACTTGAATGTACCTAATTATTTATAAAATAGTTTTTGTTTGACAAAATAACGAAAATCACTGTTGTAAACACCAAATTGCATCGGTCGGTAATGATGAGAGTCAGATATTTGCTGTCGGATTATTGGAAGATTCCCTATTTTTAATTGATAGCCAAGTTTTTTCTTCCATCGAGGTATTTTTGTGGAAACGTTGTATGATGATTGTATAGAGATTAAGCTAAAGTTGCAGGAATTTAATATAAAAACTAATCTATAAGTCCCAAGATTATTGAGTTAAGGTTGAAAGTTTTTTTATTAGTGAAAAGTATTATAATATTGAAAAACGATGAAATAAAAAATTCAAACTAGTACTGTTTAATGTTGTTGATAGTACAGTTGACAATAAAGAGCATTTCGGGAGAATTTTTCTTTCATAATAATTTCGGTTTCATTTTATTTACATTATCTTTCCCTCGGTTATTGTTTATTTCAGTTTTATCGATCCTCTTTTCTGTTTTGTTTCCATTTACGTTTGAGTTTTTTCACAAATCATCAACAATTCAAAGGTAAGTTGCTTTATTATCAACTACTTTTTTGTCAATATTTGTTACTTTAATAAAATTTTGTTATTCATACTCAGGGATTCTAAATTCTGTTTTAAAACTAAAGTCACTCTTTTTAAATTTACTTATTTTTTTAGATACATAAATAACCATCCTTATTAAATAATAAAATTAAATAATAAAACATTTTATAAAAACAATGTAACGCTGTGTTTGTTCTTCTCAAACTTTTAATTTAATCACATTTCATTTCTGAACAAATTGTCTAAAATTTTTCAAGTACCTACTTTAGTTTTAGTCATTTTTTACTATTGTACAGGTGGTTCTGAAGTAATAGGTAAAATTAGATCACAAAAAACCCAACAAAAAGTTTTAATAAACTTTTTCGTTATTCACATTGTTACATAAAAAAATACAAGTTACTCTTAACTTGTGATCAAGTTCCTAATAATAACTGTGTTTATTTTATTTTTCAAGCAATTTGAAACGTAAAAATTAAGCTTATGAAAGACAATTACGAGAATGTTTTTTTTTTCATTTAAGCTGCGAATTACGAAATCTTTATTAAAAAGGTGTAAGAAATACTTCTTTACAATACTACATTGACCGGCAAAATTAAAAAAAAAAACAAAAATTTCCTTAAATTTAAAAAAGTCATTTTTTATTACATCTTTATTATAGCAATAAAAGTAACCTGAAAAATATACAGTTCAAAGCATGAAAAATCTTGTGGCAAATAAAAAATATTAATGTAAATTAATAATGGTTAACTTTTTATAACAAAATCTTAATTATGAAATGAAATCTAATACGTTCCAACTCGTATATATAACAAATATACCGATATAAACAGATTAATGTAAATTCCTGTCTTGTAACTTGTAATAAATTTTATTAACAAAGTTTATTGTCTCAAACAGCTGTATAATAGGCAACCAAATATACATTAATACTGTATTCGCATTTCCCGGATTTACCCAAATCACGATTAGGACATCATGAGCACATGACTTTATTCTTATCAAATGACAGCTCCTAATTTTGAGGTTAGACTTAAAGTGATCACACTTTTTTTGTCAAAAAAATGGAAACATTTACCAATGAAGAATTAACACTGCCGCCCTGTAAATACGAATGTAAGTTATTTTAGGCAATATACGTATAATATAATTTTTATATGGTATGTCTTCTTAGATTTGGATCACACTGCAGATGTCCAGTGAGTCATCTTGATAAAAATTTAAAAAACCGTATTTTTATTTTACCAATTTTTAGATTACATGCTTGGGGTGACAGCTTAAAAGAAGCCTATGAACAGTGTGGCCTTGCTATGTTTGCTTATATGACTGAAATTAATACAGTAGAAATTAAACAGTGTTCAGAAATTGAAGCGACGGGACACGATTTAGATAGTTTACTTTTCCATTTTTTGGATGAGCTTTTATTCTTATTTAGCTGTGAACCATTCTTAATTTGTAGTAAATTAGTTATCACAGAGTTTATAACAGAAGGAGAGGAATTGAAAATTAAATGCAAATGTTACGGGGAAGAATTCACATTAGGAAAACATCCACAAGGCACAGAAGTAAAAGCCATCACATACTCCGCTATGCAAATAATTAATGACCCGGAAAACAAGAAGTTTGAAGTTTACGTTATTATAGACATTTAATAAATATTTATTTTCTAATTTCATTGTTTCGTCTAATTTTTACAACTTCAATAGAAGTCATTTTGATTTCTTTTTACTAAAATATTCATAGTTTGAAGCAATTTTTTATCTGTTTTTATGCATACATTTTTTAGTAAATACATACAAACAAGAGTTTTATACACAGACCGAGACTTTTGAACTATAAAACTAGGGTTGTCAACAAAATTTAATAATTTTTCACTAATATTGGATCAGGAATTTTACTAAATTCAAAAATTGTTATAAATTGTCAAAATATGATGTGATTGACGACGTATTTTATAGAAGAGGGAATATTAAGGTAAGCGTAAATGCACTATAGAAACAGTATAAGATATTAGTGTTGGAAAAAAAAATAATAGCTACAAAAAGGCACTAAAAAACTAATGGCAAATGATTATTATTATTTTATGATTAAACATAACACTTGCAGTGTGTTACGATGAGCAATCTTTTCATGTTTTTTTATTTATTATTAATAAAATTGTTTAAAAAAATCGCAATTCGAGTAATAAAAATTATTTTAAAGAAATAATGATATTGTGTATTCAAGTATCTAATCAACAAATTTATTTATTTTTATTATATTGCCTTACACAACATAATGTTTTTTATATACATCATCTGTTCTGCCCTCAGGTCATTTCAACACCCTTTGTACCGGTTGATTAATTTTTATCGATACAAATATGTGTACACACACTTATCTAAAAATAACCAGGTACTAATATCACCCTTAATTACTAGTTTAAAACAATATCGAATAAAAGGAAAAAGATTTTATCATCATGGGCATTGAACTATACTTTTTTGTTACAACAGCAGTCTAATTAACAAATAAATGTGAAGGTGTTAATGAAAACCTGAAAAGTAATTAAAATATGCATATTTGTAAAAGGAATATTAGATACAAAGCGGTTTAATACGTGTGTGTTAATCTGGGATCTCCGCGGAAAGCCCCGGAAAACTTTAAAGCACAAAAGCTTCATATTCCGAGTCAGTCTTTCTCCAACCTCTGTCGAGTCTAAACCCTCTACTAATACCGTGAAACTTTATAAAACTTCAAATTTTATAACAAGTGGCATTTTTCTAAATTAATTAAACTCGTAAAAGTTAAATTAAATAAAAACTTCTTTATTAAAATAATGTAAAAATCAAAATGAAAGACAAACTGTTCGTGTGGACGATATTGTTTTTATTATTTTGGCACGAAGGATTTTCGATTCGTTGGTTGTAAGTATAATTTAGCTCCAATTTATTCTTTGTAATAATTTTTGTTTTTTATATTTGTAATTTCACTTTTGCGTGCAAGAACAATACAATTATAAATAATTTTATACATGCAAGTTAAACTCATGTCAAATCTTTATTGGCTAGTCGTAAAAAATGTGAATAATAGTCGTAACGTAAATAAAATATGAACATGAAATGAAAATGTATCAATGGAGAGATCTCTTGAAATTTCAATTCAAGTTGCAAATCCGAATTGTATTCCAACGAATCACGAAATGAGATCTTGAAATTTTGTCATCAGTTTTAACTAGAATTAAATTGCCAAGCTTCAGAAGAGTAAAAAGTTGGTACGTGTTTGTGAGTAAAGAGAGTCGATTTTGCTAAATTGAGAAACTTTCATATTTCATTTTTATTGAGAGTTTTAAACCCGTCATTGTTAAGACTTTATGATTTATCGGATAAAATACTCTTAGCAAAATAATTGGTAATAAAAATCGTGTAATAAAATTAAAAAACACAAAGTAATTCCAGAATAATTTTAATTAACAAAACTATTATTCAAACCATCGTTAGCACAAGCACCTCCCCCGCCCTCAAAGGGCCTCAAGGACACCCCACTCAGATACTTCATTATAAATAATATATTATTAGGACAAAAGGGCCGTTAGTCTGGCCCCAACCACACCTGTAATTAGTAGGCGCCCTCGCGATGATATTATCAAACTTTAATTATAGATTAAAATAGGTTCACGCGATCTATTGTCGCCCCTTATGTGATTTTTTCGTGAATTCTAGACATGAAGCGTAAAATTTGAAAAAAATTGATGTCAATGTCCATAAAGCACGATTTTAACGCATCTTTGTCGGCTTGATGGTGATAATAAAAAGGTGGATCTCCTGCAATTAACTATTGTGTTTTGTCATACTTGGGCCATACAGGGTGGAGTGACGGAAGGAATGTTTATTATAGCCGTTGTTTGACGATTGTACCGCGTGTAGATGTGTTAATTGGATAGATTTTTTTTACGATTATTGCTTATCTAGAGTTCAAGACATACCCTTATTTACACGACACTGATGCTAACGTGTAATGGAAGAAAATAAAGGAAAGGTTACATTGACACTAGGATGTTACAAAACCGAATGCCTTAAATATTTATTTGGAAAATGATAGGCAATAAAAACGTGTTTAATTAAAGCGCAAGTGTTACATTCTTTTTTTCTCTTTATAGGTCTCTTCAGCATTCCACTCTTCACTGGAATTTAAGTTCAGTTAACAATAATCCGGGACGAGGGATCCGCTCCGGTGCTCGTTCTCCTTGTGGTGTAGCCCGTAGAAGATACGGTTTAGCTAAATTACAAGCAAAATTATGCCGTAGCACTATGGAAGCCATGCCACATGTGCAAAAAGCTGCAGTTTTGGCGACTGAAACGTGCCAGAATGTTTTCAAAGACCGGAGATGGAACTGCTCCTCTATAACAACTGCTCCGTATCTAACACCCGATTTAACCAGAGGTAAAACAATTTTTCAATCACATGAAGTTTGTTGCCAAAATAATATGCTTCTATTTAAATAAAAAAAAAAACTATTTTCCCAATTTCGTATAAGGTGCATTTTTTCTTTTTCTTAAGTTTCTTGCAGGGGCGGGTTCAGGAATTATTTTTCGGGGGGCCCTTTTTTTTAGGATGATGAGGGTAGGTGTAGGATGAAACCTTTACTTTGGTATATACAAGGTGCCTAACGAGTTGGTTAAGATCTTTATTACTCATTTATTCTTAAAATATTTAGATACAAATTTAGTTAAATTAGATACCTAAGATGTGGCCCAAAAAAGTTACAATGCAAAGTCAAATAATGTATCTGCTTAATTGGATTTTTTGAAAAATCACATTCTTTTTTCCAATTTATTACACCAAAATTGAGAATAATTAATATACAGGCTGTATTATGAAAAACGCCCCAAGCCATAACTCCATTGTTTTTAAAGTTATGACAATACTTCTTAGAACAAAGTTGAACATTTTTTGTCATCTATCGTTTGGGATAGATGCTAAATTAATGCTGTTTTCTGTTT